TATATATATATATATATATATATATATATATATATATATATATACAGAAAATATTCACTCTTTTGTTTGATAAATATTTGGAATATATGTCGCGCGATAAGTGTGGACATTCGTTCTGATCGCGACATCGCGCATGACACGTATATCATAATACTATAATATACACTCATATCAGGAGTGAATAACAATAGATTATCTAGAACAATAGAATAATAGAAATCTAAAATAATAATAGATAATCTATTATCATTCACTCCTGCTCACATTTCATCAGGATTGCATTAAAAATTCCCTTTTTATTCACTCCCGTTCTCAGCATGTCTCGCTATTGGATCATTACTAGTAGATATACACGCACGGGAGTCATTTCCTGGGGTGCACACGCACAGCATGTTTGCACGTAATATGCACTACGGGCGACGCTTTCCGGGCAAAACCAATTAAACATGCACTCTCGTCAAATGACAGCTGGGAACATACACGCCTTATTTAACCCTATCTCGTCACCGAGAGAATTGGCCGACGGTAATGTCCTACTGTGCTGTACGTCGTCCCGGCGGAGGACGCAGTAAGTGGATGACGCAGTAAGTGGATGACGCAGTAAGTGGATGACGCAGTAAGTGGATGACGCAGTTAGGTTTCGCCTAGCCGTTGCGCACGCAGCACGAGGCGGCACGCACGGACGCACGCACGCACGAAGCGGCATGTACGCACGCACGCAGCACGCTGCGGCATGTATACGCACGCATGCACGAGGCGGCAAGCACGCACGCACGCAGCACGAGGCGACACACACGCACGCACGCAGCACGAGGCGACACACACGCACGCACGCAGCACGAGGCGACACACACGCACGCACGCAGCACGAGGCGGCACGCACGCACTCACACACGCACGCACTCACGCACACACGCACACACGCACGCAGCACGCACGCACGCATGCTGCCGACGATATTGACGCGACAGCATTCCCGCGCTCCCTGAAACACGCAACACATGTCACATGCCGCCACCTCTCTCTCTCTCTCTCTCTCTCTCTCTCTCTCTCTCTCTCTCTCTCTCTC